GAGGGGCAGAGGGATGTAATCCATTTACATGTAATGTAAATCCATTTACATTTAAAGTAATTACAAATAAGGAAGGACTGACTTCTGTTATTGTGTTCTGTGTTTTCTATATGCCTTACAGCTTTTGTCCCTCATTTCCAACACTACCTTCTTATTTTGTATTTGGTTTTATTAGTGAAATGTTTAAATTCATTTCTCATTCTCATTCTCAGACAGACTCTGTGCCAAGTGCATAGCTGAGGCAGAGCTCAATCCCACAACCATGAGTTCACGACCTGAGGTAACCAAGAACTGGTCTCTTAACCCACTGAGCCACACAGGCATCCCTAAGGCATTTTAAAACTAAGGTTCAGTTCCACTGGTATATATATGGATGGACACATGTATATGACTTCAACCTATTTCTATTCTCTCTGAAGAACATAACTAGATTAATTTCAAAGTTGACCTTTGATAATTAGTATTATATTCATACATGAAGTACAGCACATTAATAGATCATTATATCAAAGGGGATTTGTGAATCTTAACCAAGAAGGGAGATCTTAAGAAGAAATGCTCATGTGAAGCTTTCCTCTCTATATAGTACCTACCCCCCTTAATAAAAAAATAAAAGTTGATTTTTGTCCAGTTGGACATGATAGACCATATTCAGTGGAATGTATCTGACTACCCTTGGGAAAAAACAAAGAAGTTCTTTCTCATCAGATGGGATATACACTCTGTCTTTTGATTGGAAAGTTTAACCCATTTACATTTAAAGTAATTACCAATAAGGAGGGATTGACTTCTGTCATTGAGTTCTGTGTTTTCTATATGCCTTATAGATTTTGTCCCTCATTTCCAACACTACTATCTTATGTTTGGTTTTATTCGTGAAATGTTTAAATTCATTTCTCATTTCTTTTTATGTATATCCCATAACTATTTTCTTTATGGTTACCATAAGGATTACAGTTAACTCATAAAGTTATAACATCCTAATTTGAATTTATATCAGCTTAACTTCAATAGTATAACAAAAACTCTGCTCCTTTACAATTTTGTCTCCATCTCTTTCAGTTGTTGATGCCACAAAATTACATCTTTATGCATTGTGTGCCCAAAAACATAAATATTTTAAATACATTAGTTTCTTATATTGTGTAGAAAACAAGATTTGGAGTTACAAACCAAAATTACAAAAGTTACTAGCTTTTACATAAAATAATTGTTTTTTCTTTAAATGTATTTATGTCTTAAATCATGTAGGAAAGAAAAAGTACAGGTACAAACCACTGTTACAATTAATTTTTAAATTTTTGTGTTCTTTAATCAATCAATACTTTCCTTTATAGCTTCCGATTTTGACTCATCCTTTAAAAATCTTTTCCCTAACACCTACACAAAAATAAATTCCAGACCTAAATGTAAAAGCTAAAATAACAAAGAATTAAAAAAACAATAACAGGAGAACATCTTCATAATTGGGGCAGGCAAAGTTTTCTTTTAAAGGACACAAAAACAGATCATTAAACTTTATTAAAATTAGCAATATTTGTTCGTAAAAAACCTAACAATAAAAGAATGAAAAGGCAGGCCACAGAATGGGACAAGATATTTGCTTCTCTGTATATTGCAATAAGGAACTTGATCCCAAAATATCTATATCTATCTATATGTAAATCATCTCACAAAGAAAGAGAGATAGTAACCCAACACAAAAATAAGCAAACTACTTGAACAGGCACTTCACATAAAAGAGGATATCCCAAGTGGTTGATAAGTTTGTGAAAAGATGCTGAACATAAACAGTATTCAGGGAATAAATGCAAATTAAAACCACATTTTGCTAAACTCCCAAAGCCAGCAACTTTGTTAACATCTCTTGTTCTATTTACTTATGTTTAAATTGGGAATATTAATGTCTGTCCTCAGGAATTTATAGTCTGAGGAAGATTAAGTGAAATAACAGAAAACAGATAACTATGTACTGAAATACAGTGAATTATGTACTGAAAATCCAGAGCTAGAGGGGCACCTGGGTGGCTCAGTCAGTTATGAGTCTGCTTTTGGCTCAGGTCATGATCCCAGCGTCCTGGGATGGAGTCCCATTTCAGGCTCCCTGCTCAGCAGGAGAGTCTGTTTCTCCCTCTTCCTCTCACTCTGCCCCTGCTCATAGGCTCTCTCTCTCACTCTCTCCCTCTCAAATAAATAAATAAAATCTTTTTTTTTTTTTTAAGATTTTATTTATTTATTTGACAGAGAGATCACAAGCAGGCAGAGAGGCAGGCAGAGAGAGAGAGGAGGAAGCAGGCTCCCCTAGAGAGCAGAGAGCCCGATGCGGGGCTCGATCCCAGGACTCTGAGATCATGACCTGAGCCGAAGGCAGCGGCTTAACCCACTGAGCCACCCAGGCGCCCCAATAAAATCTTTTTAAAAAAGAAAATCCTGAGCTGGAGACACAGTGACTATGTTCTTTATCAAAAAATCAACAAAAATAGACTTAAAATGTTCTTGAACCTGGAGCGCCTGGGTGGCTCAGTGGGTTAGGCCTCTGCCTTCGGCTCAGGTCATGGTCTCAGGGTCCTGGGATCGAGCCCTGCATTGGGCTTTCTGCTCAGTGGAAAGCCTGCTTCCCCTCTCTCTCTGCCTGCCTCTCTGCCTGCTTGTAATCTCTCTGTCAAATAAATAAATAAAATCTATTAAAAAAAATGTTCTTGAGCCTTCCACCTTATAAGTTTTATCTTGCTCTTTGTCAGCTCCTTCTAATTCCAGGATGCTTGCTGTTGCCAAATTAGCTCATTTTGAATCTCAGTGCATAAAGTGACACAGATCAGACACTTTATCTTGGCTTTATAAATCTGTCCCCATACTTTCACTGAACCCTTTTAAGAAGCCTAGCTCATCTACCAATCTAAATAGCCTCTCTCCTCCCCAAAATGGTTACCATTTAGCTAAAAACACAATCTCATTTAATCCTTGTAACAGTCCCATCAGGTGAGTATTATTTTCTTACCCAAGAGATCATTCCCATTTTACAAGAAATTGGAGGCTTGGAGTGAATAATCCACTTATCTGAAGTTACAGAAATGTTCAGTGACAAAGCTGAGACTTAACTGACAGGTTTATCCTATTCCAAAATCTACTTCTATCACTGTGTTCCACTGACCACCAACGGCAGGAGCTGTTATTGTCTTTGAAGAGGTGGGTGCTCACGTCCCTCCTCATAGGCATGCTGTTGGTATCTTGACACTGCCATCTGTGTGTGTGTGTGTGGGGGGGTCCTCAGGGTAGCACCTGAGTGGCTCAGTCTGTTAGGTGTTTGCCTTTGGCTGGGGTCATGGTGTCTGGGTCCTGGGATCCACCCTCACATCCTGCTCCCTGCTCTGCAGGGAGTCTGCTTCTCCCTCTCCCTCTGCCTGCCACTCGCCCTGCTTGTGCTCTCTCTCACACACACACTCTCTCTCTCAAATAAGTGGATAAAATCTTAAAAAAAAAAAAAGAAAGAAAGAAAAAGAAAAAGAAATATGTTGAGAAATGGAATGGTGTGTGTAGGATTTGGGATTCAACTTACACTTGATCCCCCAGTGGGTCTGACTTCAGATAAGTAAGAGCTCCTCTTCTGAGTTTGCCTCCCACCCACACCCCTTCCCCAGAATCCTCACTTGGTGTCTCCTCATCTCTGACCAGCACCCCCTGGCCAGACCACAGTAATCCTAGACCTGGGACTAGCTGGGCCAGTCACTGATGATCTCACCCACAATCTCAGACTCCAGGCTGCCTGGGGAGCTGTCCAGAAGGTGGGGCAAGTATTTGCTGAAAGGGGAAGAAAGGCAGGGCAGGAGGCTGCATTACCTTAGCAAGGCTCCTCTAGTCCCTACCTGGCAGAGCAGACATAGGCACCTTGTGTCCCAAACAGCCGATGCCTACTGACAATGGCATGGAACTGCCCTTGACCTGATTGAGTAGTTTCAATGTTAGCCATCAGTTTGAGGAGGCAGAACGGCAATAGGAGCATCGGAACCAAGAATCCCTCTGAGTGCCACAATCCCAGCAGAACGCTCCCCATGCACCAAGCCAATTCTAAACCCTTGACATGCATTAACTCATGTAATCCACACAGCAACTCCACGAGGTAGCTACTAGTATCTCCCATTTAACAGGTAAGGAAATACAAACAGTAACTTGTAGTTTGCTCAAGAACAACAGCTGGTAAGTACTGATTATTCATCCGAAAAGCAGGGATACAAATGCCGGCCCTAAACCTACATAACTCAAGGAGTTTTGTACACAGCTCCTATGCATTGGTGATAAAGACTATTTCTTAAGCTGAAACCATTACAGTTTTTTCCCTTCCACCTTTTGGGATAGAGGAAAGATTTTTTTTTTTTTTTCCAGTGGGACCCAGGTAATGTGGGTGCAGAAAGTTACTGGAAAAATCCAAAAAGAAATTGGTAACCATAGCGGTGACTCCAGGCAGGGGAAACTGAGTGGCTGGGAAGCCGGATGGGAAATTTACTTTTCACTGTGTTTATCAAGATATTTAAATTAAATAATATATATATTTTTTTTTCTTCCAGGTCTGCTTAGTCCCAGGTGAATCTGGCTGGGGCTTCTGCTTCAAAGATGGCGCAAAGATAAGGCTCAGAGGTCTGGTAGCTCGCCCAGAATCACCAGCGAGCCACAGCGAGCTCAGGGTCCTTTCCCGACCACACCAGGGTGGGCATCTTCAAACGGGGAGGGAGGGAGGGAGTGCCCACCCTGACTTGGCGCGCGCGCGGACTCCGGAGCGTCGGGCCCCGCAGGGCGCCGGAGGCCCCGCCTGGGCGGCTGGAGGAAAAGGCCGGCCTCCCGCCCCGCCCCGCCAAATTTAAGAGCCCTCGCCCAGCGCTGGGGCGGTTACTGACCGACGAGTCTCCCTCATCGTGGGGTACTCCCCCTCGCCTCTCGCACTCTCCGCACGGCTGCCCACAGGCCCTGGCTCCGCTCCCTGGGCCCGTCCCGGTGGGGGCCGTGCCATGCCCAGCCCGGTGCCGCGAGGCCGCCGGCCGCCCACTCCCCCCGGCGCTCGGGACCAGCCCCCGCTCTCTGGCGATCCCCCTGCGCCCCAGCGCCGCCCGGCCGGCCCAGGCACACCCCGCGGTCCCGGGCGCCTCGAGTCGTCCTTCTCCGTCGAGGCCATCCTGGCCAGGCCCGCCCGTCGCGCGCCCACCGCCTCCCCGCCGGCCGTTCCGCCCTGCGCCGCCGCGACGCTCGGCGCCGCTCCCTCCCGGGTTCCCGCGACGTGGCTGCCCACCTACCTGGGCGTGGGTCTCCACCAGCCGTGCCCCCAACCGCCGAGGCCGGGGCTCCGCGTGCCTCACTTCTGCTGCCTGCAGGGCCTGGGCGTCACAGGTACGAGGTGCCCCGGCGCAGCGACCTGGGAACTGGGCGGGGCGGCTGGAGCGCAGCAGCCGCGGCCGCGGGCACAGGATAGAGAAGTCCCTGAGTTTGAGAACCGCGCACGGCCGGAGTGGGAAAGGGTCCTATGACCCTTGACCTTGCCGTGGAATCCGAGGCCAGAGAGAGAGGGACTGGCCTCCAGACGGCCGCCGCTCACGCTAGCTGCTGAGCGGGCAGGAGGTGTGTGTGAGCGCGGGGGCGGAGGGGGAAATGCAGGTGGGTCCCACGCGGCCTTGGAAGACCCGGCCAGGGCCACAGCGTCCCCCAAGAAGGGGTTTATAGAGTCTCTCGCCCGCTCCACACTCCCTGCGAGAAGGCTTGATAACGCCAGAGCAGCTCTCTTCCCAAAGGAACGGCCCTTTCTTAGCTGGGAGAAGCGGCTGCTGCGGTGGTGAGGTCCAGCGAGGAGCTGACCAATGCCCAGACCCCCGTGGCGCCCCCCACAGCTCCCGTCTGTGGAGCTTAGGCTCCACACTTAAGTGCTCCACGCTCAAGTACATATGCGTAGAGCGCTCTTAGAAGGGGCACCTCCGGATGTGGGGCTGATGTCTTACATCCCATTGAGAATGTAAATGTTGACCTAACGTTCTCCTCTAGAGTTAACAGCCACCTCCAGGAGCTTTCGCCGTTTTTGGCAATCTGATTCATGCTTCTCCACCTCCCCTTGAGGAAAACAGGAGCAAAGTTAGTGCAAGCCTTGTCAACCCGTGCCAAGATGGATGTAACCATCTGAGTTGGTGCCCACTCCCTGGGAGCTCTCCGTTCTGCATTTCCACCCCCCCCCCCCTTCTAGGCTCTCAAAACCCATATAAATTCTGCCACGGCAGGGGAGTGACCTGCGCTCAGGGCTGCAAACCAATTTGCCCTAACTTCCTCAGGCAGCTGAGCTCTGAATTGCAGTTTACTGCTTTATATTACAGTGATCTCATTTTCAAGTTCGTTTTTGCATAGTTACTACATTGATACAGTTCAAACTTCAAAATGTTTACTAAGTTAGAGGAAGAAGAGTTTCCCTTAACATTCCTGTCCCCCAGTCACCTGGTTAACCCCACCCCACAAGCAGCTAATGATTCCAAGTCTCTTTATTCTTCCAGAGGTATTTTATGCATATTTTGTGTGTGTGTGTGTGTGTGTGTGTGTACGTGTGTGTACACGTGTGTACATAGGCTCTTTAGGCTTAGAGCTGACTCACTGCTCAGGCCTCTGGGGTACTCCAGACTGGGCTCCAACAGAGGAACTCCAGGACACTGAGAGACCCCAAAAGAGGGTTCGGACTATGTTTAACTTGAAGCAGCTGGAAGAGTTGGAGAATGTGTTTACAAAGCAGCACAATCTTGTGGGGAAGAAGAGAGCTCAGCTGGCAGCCCAGCTCAACCTTACCGAAAACCAGGTAGGAGCAGGGACTCCTGCAAGCCCAGGGCTGTACCTGGGGGGTGGGCACTGCTCTCCAGAAGGCCCTGGGTGAGGTTGTTGGGAAGACCTGGGCCTACTTCCTCTCTGCCAGGCCACTGGGGGAGACAGGCCCTAATCATTAGTACACTCCCTATATGAATGAGGAAAATAGTCCCATAGGAAAACACATTATGGGAACAACACCCATTAATCTAGATATTAACCTAGAACTTTATGTTTCCACGTTAAAAAAGGAGCTGACAGTGAAATTAAGTATGTTCAAGGAACTAAATATTTAAAATAAGAATAACCATTCACTTGACCTCCATATCCCCCTCCAGCTACTACACCGTTTTTCTGCTTTTTTTATAGGCAGACTTGCCAAGAACTTGTGACAGTCAGTCTTTCTACGTCCTCACTTCCCAACTATGTAACTCATTCCAATATGAATTTTCCCCTCCCATTCCATCAGAACTTCTCCTCAAGGTCTCTCCATGTTGTCAAATTCAGCAGCTGTTTTCCTTTCATCTTACTCCCCACTTAATACAATTGACTGCTCCTTCTCTTACTGACACACATAATTCTCTTGGCTTCTAGACACCGCATTCTTGGTTTTCCAGGTCTCTAGCCACTTTTCTTTCACCTCTGTAGGGTACTCTTCTCTTTGTGACCTCATATTTGCCCTCTGCCCCCCCCATCTCATTTCATCCCATGGTTTTAAATACCATCTATAAGCTAACAACTCCCAGGTGTGTATCTTCACCTATCTTCTTGTTTTCTCACTTGTACATCAACCTACCTTCTTGAGGTCTCCATTTAGATGTCTTCTAGGACAAGCATTGCAAATTTAAGTCTAAACCTCAATTCTTGACTTTATTTCTTTCCAGATCTGTTCCTCTCCCTACTCATGGCCCCACCATCCATCCAGTTGCTCAAAATATCAAGTCCTCTTAGAGTCCCCCTCTCCTGTTTCCAGTCCATCAGCAAGCCTTGTCACCTGTACCTCCAAAATACAGCTGGGATCGCTTTACTTTTCTCCATTGCCCCTAGTTCATCCTGGTCCCAGCTCTTTTTGGATTATCACAGTAGCCTGCCAGCTGTGTCTCTGCCTCTCCTTTCAGCCATTCTTCACAAAGCAGCCAGATATGCAATTCACTTGAGCAAACAGGACTATGTCACATCCCACTTAAAAGCCTCGAAGCTGGGGCACCTGAGTGGCTGACTCAGTGGGTTAAGCCTCTGCCTTCAGCTCAGGTCATGATCTCAGGGTCCTGGGATCAAGCCCTGCATTGGGTTCTCTGCTCAGCAGGGAGCCTGCTTCCCTGCTCCCTCTCTGCCTACTTGTGATCTCTCTCTCTGTGTCAAATGAATAAAAATAAAATCTTAAAAAAAAAAAACCTTAAAGCTGATATTCCTTACCCACAGCCTCCATGGTATTAGGTGATCTGGCCCCTGCTGACTTCTCCCACTGTCTCTCTCTTCACTTCCCCATCTCTCACTCCCAGATCCTTCAGCCATGCTCTCCTTCTTTCTGGTCCTCAAACACCCCCAAGCTTTCCTACAGGTCGTCTCCTGATCCAGCCTGCTTTTCTCTGTCCTCATTAAACTGGCCTCTTATCCTTTGAGCCTCAGCCTAAGTGCTGGTTCCTCAGGGAGGTTCAACCCCCCATTTGTGTTTGTTTTTGTTTCCATGTTTGTTGTTTGTCTCTCTGGACTGTGAGTTGCATGAGGTCAGGGACTATACATCTATTGCTCACCACGTATCATCATCACCTAGGATGGTGCCTAGCACATAATAGGAGCTCAATAAATATTTGTTGGATAAACAAATGGTGCCTAAAATTACAGGGAAGGGTGTTTTGAAGGAAATGCTCCCGTTAGAAGGAAGAGCGAATGTGGGCCCAGAGAGCAGTGGGCACCATGGAATGGGGGAAACCATGGGAACTGCTGGTCACATTCTAATCTCTGACCATTGCCTCTGATTATAGGTGAGGGTCTGGTTCCAAAACCGCAGGGTCAAGTATCAGAAGCAGCAAAGGCTGAAGCTGCCCATTGTGTCTGCCATGGCTGCCTCCCAAGACGAACCCTCCAGCAGCTCTGACAACAGCAACCAGAGAGAAGACCCTGAATCAGGAATGGACAGCTGAGGACTGGGACAGAAGCTCAACCTGGGCTGTCTGGGCTAGTTTTTCTTGGGGGCACTCACTGGAACTACTGAGCCTTTTTTCTTCATCTGTATAATGGGTACATTGACAACTTCATCCTCCCAGCACTGACAGGATGTCTGTAAAGTTGTTACAGGGTGCCGGGCCAAGCAAGTGTGTGGGGCAGTGTGTGGTGTTTACACCAGCACTGACCTCTCCACAGATTAATCTTTTCCTGGTCTGCCTGTGGAGAAGGGGCCTCCTTGAATCAGTGTCTGGGCCTTAGAAGTCTCTTACCCACCAGAGATGGTGGAGTTGAGAGCAAAGGTGAGGGAAAGGTAAACCATTTAGCCTACTTCCCTTTGAAGAGTTTCCCAAAGTTTTCTTGTTTTTGTCTGAACTGTCACCATTTTCAGGAGCTCAGCCCCAGCTCCCTGCTTAGGACCAGACATGCTACCCTGACCACCATCTTTTTCCCTCTAGCTACCCATCTTGCCTCCTCTCCATCATTACATAAAATAGAGCAATTTGGCTCTGCCTTTGCCAAGGCAGGCATTTTGTCACAAACTCTGCTGTATTTCCCTGAGATGGTTATAATTTCTCCCCCTTCAAGACCCTAACTCGTGGTTCCATTTCCTTCCCAGGAAGCTGCTCAGTTTCTAAGAAGCATGCTGATATCCTGCTCTTGTTAGCCCAGTCACCAGCACAGAACGGATTTCTTTAGTGCTCTGCATTCCTGAGCAGAGGGTGTTGATAGAAAATCTAGAATGGCCTCTGGGTACTGAGGTGAGCTAGTGAAAGAGGCGTGCCCTGCCACCTAGTGGTGGGAGAAGGCATGGTCCACACTGCTGTCTGCGGGAGAGAAGACAGGGAAAAGAGCTTGTCTTGGAAAAACCACATGCCTCCAAGTGGTGGTAGACCATCCTCTCCTAAACACCAGGCCACAGACTTGAGGGAGGCCAGGGTCCAGCTTCAAGAACCCTTCTACCTGTCTTCAGGGAAATCCTTCCTAGTGCCGGACCCAAAGTCCACTCTGTTAATCAAAGGGATCCAGCTGCATCTGTCTCTTCCAGTACCGGCTTTTTCAATTGACTCATTTTAAAAATAAAATAAAAAAATAGGGCACTTGGGTGGCTCAGTCGTTAAGCGTCTGCCTTAGGCTCAGGTCATGATCCTAGAGTCTGGAATCGAGCCCCACATCAGGCTCCCTGCTCATCCGGAAACCTGCTCCTCCCTCTCCCACTTCCCTTGCTTGTGTTCCCTCTCTCGCTGTGTCTCTCTCTGTCAAATGAATAAAATCTTAAAAAATATAGATTATTAAAAAAATAAAAAAGAGTTAACCTATTCAGCAGTTACTGGGCTCTACCCAATCCCTGATGTCACCATGATACCATAACAGATGCAAACAATGTCCTTTTTCAAGGAGCACAGCATCCACTGGAGGACAAGGAAACAAGGCAAGGAAACAGTGGTCAGCCTTGGCTGTGGGGACAGATGCTATAAGTCCATGGCTTCAGGCTTTTGGGGTCCTGAATGAAAGAACAGGCCCCTCTCCTGTTTCCAAGACAATGTGCATATGCACACTCCTGCATGCAATTTCAGGGGTCCTCAGACCCGAGGTGCACCGTGTACCACCTTCCACCACCCCTAGGCTGCAAGGTGCCTATGCCCCTGAAGGGGCTGAGAGAAGCACAAGTCCAGATTGAAGGCCCAAGGAAAGGGGAATCCTTGCACCCGAGCGAGTAGGATGGACACGTGCAGTAAGCTAGTCCCTCCTTTCAGGTAAATCAGAGAGGGTAGAGGTCGGCTGACTGCTGCCCACCCCCGCTCCCGGCTGGGTCTAAAGAGCGCTTGACTCAAAACGGGCCAATGGGTGGAGAGAGACAACAGGGCACATAAACACGAACTGCACACAGATACATCAAAACTATACACACACCCATAGGCTAGGATACATAGGTATGTACGAAGACACAGACGAAAAACCGCACAGATGTAAAACACAAAGGCAGACCCAGCTACATCCAGCCACCGAACCAATCGACCTAAACACGTAGATTAGAGGGATCTAAATCCGTACTCGCTAAAGCGTAGACCCGAGGTCCTCGGACACACACACCGGGGGCGGGGCCGGAGAGGGGCGGGGCCTCCCAGGTCGAGGCGAGGTCAAGGGTCATAAGGAGGAGGCGCGCCCAAGATGGCCGCCTCCATGTGCGACGTGTTCTCTTTCTGCGTGGGCGTGGCGGGTAGGGCCCGGGTCGCCGTGGAAGTCCGCTTCGTAAGCAGCGCTAAGGTGAGGCCAAGGCGGACCCTCTGGGAGCCCCCTACCCTGTCCGACCTTGGAGACAGCCCCACGGGATCCCAGGCCTGGAGCAGAAGCTCCTCTGCCGCTCGGACTCTGCGGCTCGGTCCCTACTCCTGGCCCGGGGGTTCCCTGTCTGTCCCCGCGCGCAGGCTTCCGGGGAGGTCACGCGGTGGACCCGGGGCTCCAAAGTCTCCGTGCGCGCGCGCCCCCTTCCCGCGGGACCCGGTGCGCCAGCCCGGGGCTCTGCTCCTGTAGCTCCGGGCGGGGCCGAGGCGGGTGGTGCCGGGCTTTTCCGGCCAGGCTAGTGGGGGACTTTGCTGCTGAGCCCCAGGTACGGTGGGCGGGGATATGCTGAGCAGAGGGAACTTAGGTATAAAAAACCGTGGGTCCTCAGGGAACTTTCTGAGTGAGATTTGGAAATGGGTGTGGAGGGAGGCCAGGACCCTTCACGAAAGGGCTTGGAATGCTAAGGAATTTGGAAACTGAGCTCTAAACCCGTGGCCCGTTTGAAGCGTTTTGGCAGAGAAATGTCATGATTTTGTTATGTTATTGTGTTTCAAAAGTTACTTGTAGAAAAATGAGAAAAATGCATATGAGGAAAGAGAAGGCAAAAATCACTTATAATCCTATGCTTGTGCAAATATGTGGATATTAAAATTACAATTTTTGCAATCGCTTTTTGATGCAGTAGTAAATCAACATCAATAAACCTGTTTCTAAATAGGTCAACCAACTACTTATTTATGGACTTTTATATTTTATTTTATTTTTCATCCTGAGGTCCGAAGTCTTCGAGCTCAATTTTTGTGCACACATCCTTTTGTTCTCCCTAGCAGAGTATTTTCTTTCCGAATTAACTTTGCCATATGATATGTGCAAAATGGTACGGCTTTGTTTTCATTTACATTTCTTTGTTTACTGAGGAGGTTGAATAATTTATTATGTGTAATGGCTGTGTGTATCCCCAGTCCCTGCCCAAGATGTCAGCCTTCTCTAGTCATCTACCTTCTGCTCTTCAGAGCCCAACCTTCCATTGACTTCTTCCCACTCCAGATGCATCTGGAGCGTTCCTCTCCTTCCGTGATAAAGCAGCTCCCCTATATTCTTGACCTCCTCAGCCGCTCACATCTCTGTCTGCACACAGGCCTCTGGTGTTCTTGATCAGCTCATAGTTTGATGGTGTCCAGGTTCCATCACTCCTAGCACACGGAGATAGTCACCTTCGCCTTCACTGCACCGCCTATCTCTCATCCCCTCCTCTCTTCCGATCTTCCTCTCACATCATCACATCAGCCGCTCTACTTGCCCAGTTGTCCTGTCCTAGCCTTCTATCAAACCCTACCTCTGGAAGAATGAGCTGGCCAGCCTCTCCATGCCCACATCTGATCTGCAGCTGGAGAAAATCACATACCCACTTAGACATGGTGACAAGATAGATTATCCCTGGCTTTTTGCATCTGTACTCATCAAGTGAGATTGCTTGTGAGGTTTTTTTCTTTGTGCTCTCTTCCTCCGGTTACTGCATCAGAGTTATGCTTGTTTTTTGGTAAAATGGAGATGCTTTCCATTTTTTCTCTGTTACTTAGTAGTTTAAATAGCATGAGAATTACTTATTCTTTGGCTTGAGAGAGGTGGCTCATGAACCATATGGACTAGGGGCCTCACATGGGGGTTGTTTTTTACTATTTTCTCTGTTGCTTCTCTGGATATTGGCAGGAGCAAGCTTTCAAAAATTTAGCAGCTACTCTGCCAGGGACAGGACCAATCAGAACATGATAGTGTCTGACCAAAGAGGATGGATGCCAACCAGAATGCCGTACAGGTACAGGTCAGCCAGATATCGGGTACTGCTTCTTTGTCTAGGCTTTCTTCCTTTTGTTTTTGTTTGTTTGTTTGTTTGTTTGTTTGTTTTTTAAGATTTTATTTACTTGTCAGAGAAAGAGAGAGCACAAGCAGGGGGAGCATGAGGCAGAGGTAACATTAGGCAGAGGGGGGAGCAGGCTGCCCCCCGCAAGCAAGGAGCTCCACATGGGACCCTGGGATCATGACCTGAGCCAAAGGCAGATACCCAGCCAACTGAGCCACCCAGGTGTCCCTAGGCTTTCTTCCTTTTGAATTTGGTTCTGGTAATTTCTATGTTCCTAGAAAATTACCCATGTAGTAAAGCTTTTATTTACAGTCTTTTTCCTAAAACTTAACTTTTCAAATTGGAGCCATCTTTGCAAGTTTCTGGCCCTCTCATTCAGGTTCACTTCTCTCCAAGCCTCTTGGTAATATTAATGAAAGCTGCTTTTCTTAAAACACTGTTTTATGTTTGGAGGATGAGTGGTTTCATAAAGAAACCAGCTCTGATTCTGTTCCCATTGTTTTGATTACTAAATACTTTATGCATTTGGGCCTTCAGGAAGAGAGAGAAAGACATCGTTATTTACCCAGTGTTGAGATTTGAGATTGTCAACGATAATGTGGGTCTGTGTTCATCTCCCTTTGTCCCATAGAGGAAGACCATCTTTTCATTTTGCTAGATTGGGTCCGGCCCTGAAAGGCTTGAAGGTGGGGTTCCAAGAAGACAACCAAGGATGCATCAATGGCTTTAGCCAGAGGTTTCATGCTAGCTGTCCCACTCTGCTGCTAGAGCTACCCAAGTTGTTCAGGGTTGTGATCTGTAGCTCATGGGTTGTTCAGGGCTATCCTGGTC